GGCGGCGTCGTTTCACCGGGAGTGCTGCCACCGTTTATGCAAACTATGCCAGGGTTTCATAACAATATGGGTGTGCCGCTTGTGGCACATCAACCAGTGCCAGTGGCAGCTGGCGCTGCGGCTGGACAGCCCAATGAGGAGGCCGCTGCACGAAGGGCGGCTCCACAGCCAGTCGATGGTCCCAATTTCCCCAATATACAGGAGGAGCCGGAGGTGCGCGATTGGTTGGATAGTTTCTTTAGCTTTACTCGGTTGGCCATTTTTGTAACAGTTTTATATTTCAATTCGTCGCCCATGCGCTGTTTGATGGTGGTGCTCATTGCAAGCGTGATTTATCTGTGAGTACGAATGTGGTTTGATAAGCAATCTAAGATTATTTACTAATTGACTTCTACTTTTATAGCTATCACATTGGCGTGCTGCGGCGTCGTCGTGAACGGAACAACAACAACATCAATCGAAACAACAATGCTGGCAATAATGTTGCCGCCTTTGCGGCTGTGCAAGAAATCCAACGAATGATGGACGCTGCCGTTGAGCAAGACAATAATCCACAGGCAGCTGATGCTGCGGCTGCCGCCGCTGATCAACCGAATGCTGCACCAGCCCCAGCTGCACCAGCTGCTGGACAAAATGGTGCTGCGCAGCCAGCAGCCAGCGCTGCTGCTGGTGGGGATCAAGCCACGGATGCCGCTGCAGCTTCCGCTGAAGCCGTTGTCGTTGAGCCTGCGAATGCCAATAACTCTGTGATTTCTATTGTGCGCACCTTTGTCATAACGTTCTTCACATCGCTGTTGCCCGAGGCACCGGCGCTGTAAAGTTGAACGTATCTCTATTATATGTGGCCTCTTGGATATTTCCTTCCAATATTTCCTTTTTGCACCCCACTCTCCATAGATTTCCCCAACACATTTATAAATGTTATAATTTATGCATACCAGAACTTTTGCAATATCTGTTTTTTTAGCTACGTAATGAACTATATATATGTATGTATATTTATAATATGACTGCGTGTGCATGTGAATCGTAAAATGGGCATGACCCAGCGTATTCCGCACAGCAGCCAGCCCTCCTCCCCCACTTTATGCCCCCATGATGTAGCTTTAGTGTTTTTTATAGCGTTAAGAAATAAAACTTGTTTTTGATGTGAATGCTACGAAACTAGCTAAATGGCAACTGAAACTATGAAATCGATAAAATACAATTATAATACTATTTCATAATAATAAAAAACCTATATATGTATATATATATATATATGGTAATGCTTTAAACACCAACTCTGTCGATCGCTTATCTCAAATCGGAAAACTCCACTTTTCATGAATGGAAAAATTTGTGAATGGAAACTTTTCAGTTTCGGAACACTTTCACTAATCATTTAGTTTACATGGTAAAGAGAGCGAGCTCTTAACACGCCTCTTGTTATTATTTTATTAGGTTTACACGCTGCTCGGAGACGCTCCATTATGCCTTGTGTGCGTCCGGCTTATCGCCCAGCAGATGTCCGTCCGTCCGTTTGTCGGTCGATTCGTTCGTGCCGCTGATAGAGGCGCGTCGACTTCTCGCTTATACGGTTTTTAGAACGCATCGAGTGCTCAGTGCTGACGGATCTTGCAGCGGCATCAGTATTTCGGATCATCATTATAATAAATCCATATATATATATACATATATACAGAGTGCAAACTCTTTACTTTGACTGAGAAGTGACGGACGGAATATGTCACGTTTTCTACAGTTGCGTGCAACGATCGCACCTGCGCTCACCAGACAGCGTCATGTAAGTGGGCGGCAAATCCTGTCCAGCATCCGTTATACATCTATATATTCTTTATAGCATGGTCATGTGATTGCTATACGTCGCGAGGATCAATCGGTGTGGGAGCGTCGTGCTCCATTCGGGCCCACCCATGTCCAGAAGTTGGTCAAACAGGGCGTCAAGGTCATTGTCCAGCCCTCCAATCGACGCGCCTATCCCATGCAGGTGAGCCCAGAATTATCAGAAATACAAATCAAATATATGCACATATAATTATAATTAGGCTTAATCAGCATGCTATATGTGAGCTTAGTTACAGAGTCGCATGATATATATATGTATGCATGCCGGCCATATGGACTGCATCATAAAAGTTTTCGGCAGATAAGCTCTAAATTTGGCAATCGTTAGCCTTGGCAGCAGTCAACAGCCGCAAGTGTAGCGTAATGCCATGTTATCTCGCTGGGAATATGTTTTGAGTCAACCTCTTTTTTTCCCAGATAATATATATTTGCTGAACTTTACGAAAAACAATATTTATTTGATAGGCATTTTCAAAACAATAATAGCTTGATAATACAATGCGAGCTGTGATGTGAGATCGAAATCAGATTAGTTGCCAAGGACATTAGCTTATTTGCGCTACAGTTATTTATAGCTGGGGTAGGTTTTCTTTTTTTTTTTGCAAAATTTTTCACGTTGTTATTAATGGAGAAACATTTATTTATAGATTAAAAAAAAAAATAAATTAAAATAATAGTATAGAACATATTAAATAAATATTGATCTAAAGAATTCATAATTTCGATAACCAACTAAGAGCATATTTTAAAGCATGTTTTTGTTATTTTTTTGAGAATTTTTTTTTGAAGAGAAAGATTTAAATAGTATATTTAAAAACAATACTAGTATACAAAATATATATAAAAATATGTAAACATGAAATAAACATTCATATATATATTTTTTTAATTTACAGTAAATATTTCACTGTTTACAGGGTATATCGCAGTCATTCTTAGCTTTCATTTGTAATCTCAAAATATATCAATTAACTGGGCTATTAATCTTTTAATGTCGCGTGTTATGTTGACTAACACAATATTATGATTTGATATTGTAGTTAGCTAGATTACGGATAAGCGGAAATAATAATTGGACAAATTATGAGCATAGAGTTCGAATAATATTTGGGCAGTTTTTCGATTAGATAAGCCGAATTCTTGGAATTCTTAGGTTTACAAATATCAAACCTTTTTTAAACTATTTAATTTTTTTTTTTTTAATTTTATTTTTTTTAATTTTTTTTTATAGGCCTATAATCAAGCTGGAGCTCAGATCCAGGAGGATATTAGCGATGCTTCGGTTATTTTTGGCGTTAAGCAGGTGCCGATTGATGCGCTTATACCAGGGAAGACCTATTGTTTCTTCTCGCACACGATCAAAGCGCAAGAGTCAAATATGCCTTTGCTCGATGCCATACTCGAAAAGGTGGGAAATCATCAGTCATTTCATCTTAAATTTCTCGATTCTATTGCAACTTGTGATTCGTAGAAAATCCGTCTCATTGACTATGAGCGCATCATTGATGAGCGCGGCGCCCGCCAGGTGGCGTTTGGTAAGTATGCCGGTGTGGCAGGCATGGTCAACATCCTACATGGCATTGGATTGCGCCTGCTGGCACTGGGCCATCATACACCCTTCATGCACATCGGACCCGCCCACAACTATCGCAACTCCTCGATGGCTCGGCAGGCGGTTCGTGACTGTGGGTACGAGATTTCATTGGGCATGATGCCTAAGTCAATCGGTCCATTGACCTTTGTGTTCACCGGCTCCGGCAATGTGTCTCAGGGGGCGCAAGAGGTGTTCTCCGACCTGCCCATAGAGTATGTGCCGCCAGAGATGCTGCGCAAGGTAGCCGAGCATGGCAGTAAGTATTGAAGAGGGAAAGAAGGAGAAGCGCGGGATCTAAAGAGATTTCCATTCCTTATCTAGATACAAATAAGCTATACGGCTGTGAGGTGAGCCGTTCGGATCATTTGGAGCGTCGCGAAGGTGGCGGCTTTGATGCCAAGGAGTACGATGAGTTTCCCGAACGTTATATTTCCACATTTAGCCAAAAGATCGCTGCATACGCATCGGTAATTGTCAATGGCATCTACTGGGCCGTGGGCAGCCCGAAGCTGATCAGTATTCCGGATGCCAAGAATCTGTTACGTCCGGCCAATACACCTTGGCTACCCACGAGCAAAGGTAGCCCAGCTCTGCCGCATCGCATGCTCGCTATTTGTGACATCTCCGCCGATCCCGGCGGCTCCATTGAGTTCATGAACGAGTGCACCACCATCGACACGCCCTTCTGCCTATACGATGCGGATCGCAATAAGGACACCAAGAGTTTCAAGGGACCCGGCGTGTTGGTCTGCTCCATTGATAATATGCCCACCCAGCTGCCGCGCGAATCAACGGACTTGTTCGGTGAGCTATTGACGCCCCATGTGCACGACATCATCAAGAGCGATGCCAAGAAGCCGCTGCACGAGGAACGCTTCACCTATCCCATACAGTCGGTAAGTAAGAGCTAAGGTCTTCTATATAAAGGAATGAAATATTGATAAACCGACGAACTACTCAAATCTCCCTCGCTTATTTGCTCAGCTCATATGCTGGTTTAGCTTATCAGTCATCGCGTTATCAAGTGTGCACATTACTTCATTGCTCACTGTACATTTGCAATCTCTCTCTCTCTTAACTTCTGTTTGGCATTCTCTTAGGCAATCATCGCCAGCAATGGAGAGCTGACCGAGAGCTTCCAGTACATACGAGAGCTGCGCGAGTCTCAGAGCAATCGTTCCCGCCACAAAATGGAAGGCCGTTCCGAGTCCCATAAGACGGTGTTGGTGCTAGGCGCTGGCATGGTCTCGGCTCCGCTGGTCGAGTGGCTGCATCGGGAGAAGGACGTGAGCATAACGGTCTGCTCGCAGGTGAAGGAGGAGGCCGATCGTCTGGCCCAACAATACGCCGGCGTTGACAGCGTCTATTTGGATGTGCACGAGAGCACTGGGCATCTGCAGGAGCTGTGTGGTAAGGCGGATGTGGTGGTCTCTCTGCTGCCCTACTGTCTCCACGGCACGATAGCGCGCTACTGCGTGGCGGAGAAGACGCATATGGTGACCGCCAGCTATCTGAACGACGAGATCTCGGCACTGCACGAGGAGGCGCGCGCCAACGGGGTGACCATCATGAACGAGGTGGGCCTGGATCCGGGCATCGATCATCTGCTGGCGCTGGAGTGCATACATGAAGTGCAGGAGAAGGGTGGCGTTGTCGAATCTTTTGTCAGCTACTGTGGCGGCCTGCCCGCGCCGGAGCACTCGAACAATGCGCTCCGCTACAAGTTCTCCTGGTCCCCAAGGGGCGTGTTGCTCAACACGTTGTCCGCCGCGAAATATTTGAGCCAGGGCCAGATTGTGGAGATCTCTGGCGGCGGCGAGCTAATGTCCAATCCACGTAGCTTGGACTTCTTGCCAGGCTTCGCTCTGGAGGGTTTCCCCAATCGGGATTCAACCAAATACGGCGCACTCTATGGACTGGGCCGGGATGTGCATACCCTGCTGCGTGGCACCATACGTTACAAGGGCTTTTCGGAGTCGATTAAGCCAATGCAGCTGCTCGGCCTCATAGATCCAGAGCCAAATGCATTGCTCCATCCCAGCGGACCGGATGTCACCTGGCGACAGCTAGTCACCCATCTGCTTGGTCTGTCCGACACGAGCATCTTCTACGAGAACCTCAAGCAGAAGCTAGTCGAACGATTGGGCGACGTGGATGGCATTGAGAGTCTGGGCTTGCTGGACGAGACGCCAGTGGTTAAGCTGCACTCGCCGCTGGACACGCTTAGTCATTATCTGTCCAAGCGTTTGGCCTTCGGTAAGTGATAATGGGTTTGGCTCTTAAGTGTTTGGACCTGACTGAATCTCCTTTGCAGAGCGTGACGAGCGTGACTTGGTCATACTGCGTCACGAGGTGGGCATCCGCTGGCCCGACGGTCGTCGCGAGGAGCGCGGCATCAATTTCGTAGTCTATGGCCAGCCCCAAGGACACTCCGCCATGGCCATGACAGTGGGCAAGCCGGCAGCAATTGCTGCCAAAATGATATTGGATGGTAAGTAATGCTTTATAGACTATATAGGAATATTTTGTACTAAATTTGCAATTTGTAATGCCAGGTGAGATCCAGGAACGCGGTGTTTTGCTGCCCTTCACGCCAGACATCTATCGTCCCATGTTGCAGCGACTACGCTCCGAGGGTCTGACTGCCACAGAGACATCCAGATGGCTCAATTAGTAATCCCTAAAGACAAAAACAGCTGAAATAGCGAAAAATTTTCCCTTAGGTTTTTGGTGTTATCTATTGCACTTTAATTTTATATTTCTTATCTGTTTCTTCTT